GGACTCTTTTCTGTTTATGACTTAAAATACTTAGTTGTAACCAAAGATACTGAACTGAAAGTTAAGTGTTTAAAAAGAAGGGAAGAACATTTAATCATATACTATCTGCTCAGATCATAGGAAGTATAGTTGCAGAGTTGAGATTTAAATCCAGGTGAGTCTTGACTCCCACTATGCAAGCTTTACCTGCACTCCCTATATTTAGGCCTTATTAGATGCTGAAAGAGCAGCAACCAGTCAATATGTATACTAAACAAATCAAAGAGGTCACAAAGTTTGATTTTTTTTTTTTTTGGTCAGTTGTGGGGCTTGAACTCTGGTCCCTCAGCTCTTCAGCTCAAGGCGAGCGCTCTACCACTTGAGCTACAGTGCCACTTCCGGTTTTCTGGTGGTTTATTGGAGATAGGAGTCTCACAGTCTCTCCTGACCGGGCTGGCTTTGAACCGCGATCCTTAGATCTCAGCCTCCTGAGTAGCTATGAGTAGCTAGGATTACAGTCGTAAGCCACCAGTGCCCGGCCCAAAGTTTGATTCTTTAAAACAAATACTGCCATGGAACATGAAAGTCCTAGGTACAAAAAATTTTTAATATTTAAGCCAGCACATTTTACTCTAAATGAGAATGCTATGGTTATATTAAGGTGGGAGTTACATCACATCCTTAATTGTATGGTTGGAGCATAAGCTTTAGAAGCCGAGAATCCTGTTTCAATTTCTATTCTGTCATTTGCTAGTGAAACAGCATAGATTAGGGAAAATGAGGCATGAGAACCAAAAGCCAGAATCTAAGAAAAATACTACATGAATAAATAATGACTAAGAGCATGCATACGTTTCTCTTTGGTCTCATACTCTCTCACTGGCCTATAACACATAGTAGAATATCTTGTACAGAAGATTACACTTATCATTAGGTGAGGGGGGGGAATGGGATCTTTTTCTAAGTATCCCTTTAAACAAAAAATGGGTTTAATCAGATATTCCTTTGTTCCTTTCAATGTAGATCTTCCTATCTTCCTTTCTTCCCTCCCTCATTCCCTCCCTTCCTTCCTTTATTATTGGTTGTGAAGTTTTAACTCAGGGCTTGGGTGCTGTCCCTGAAGCTCAAGGCTAGCACTCTACCACTTAAGCTACACCATCACTTGTGGTTTTTAAGTAATTAATTGGTGTTAAAAGTCTCACAGGGACTTTTTTGTCTGGGCTAGCTTAGAACCTCAATCCTCAGATCTCAGCCTCCTAAGTAGCTAGGATTACAGGCATGAGCCATGGGCACCCAGCTTAGATGTGTTTTCTTTGCAAATACTTCTCTGTTCAACGAACAGACAAATATCTATGTCGTAATGACCTAAATTTAGTAAACTTAACAAACTTAGCCTCTTTGGTCCCAATTGTTAACATCAAAACAGCGCATCAGCAAGAATAATTGAAGAATATAAGGTGTCTAGAACAACAGGGAGTACTAAGGCATGTTTAAACCAAACCCCTAACCCATCTTTTCATCATTAAGACCCCTGATATTACAGTACTCAAGAGAACCTCTTCTCATGTTTCTGTGCCCATGAGTGGGGATGTGCTGACTGTTCTTTTGCTTTGCTTTACTAATAAACTGTCAGTTCATTACCTCACCTGTGTCTATGTCTAAAATTCTTGTTCTGGGATCAAAGACAAGATCATGCTAAATCAAAGGTCTTCTCAGGAGACCTCCTCCAACTCCTACCAACCCCGGGGAGACACTAGGGCTTAGACAAGTAACTTAGCTTTCAAGTTCCAGTACTTATAACAACTTATGCAACTTATAACAACTTATGCAACTCAGTACTTATAACATTGGGCTCAAATTATTTTACTGTATAGTGTTACGAGTACAGAGGCTAATCATCAGAGGAATATGTTCAACGCCTGATTCTGCCACTTAGGAGCCTATAACATTGGGTAACCTATATACCAGAACCAGTCTATGCCTTTTTCTCTGTCTGGTCATTATTGTAGTTTTACATACAATGTGGTTTGTGAAGATTAAATTAACATACATAAAGTACTTAGAACAGTGACTGGAGCATAATAGCACCATGTTAGCATTAGCTAGTTTAGTAAAATATTTTTCTGGTTGTGGGAATTTATGAGAACATTTTTAGATCTCCAAGCCAAATGTCTGCTGAACAAGAAGTAGAAAAATCTGTAGCACTTATGGACATCTTTCATGTTTCCAATGGGACAGAAAAATTCCAAATCCTGAGGAGGTATCAGTTAAGGTCACAATTCATCATATAAATAAAAAAAGCACCAAGGGCTCATGCCTGTAATCCTAGGAACTTAAGAGGATGAGAGAGGATCAGTTTGAAGCCAGCCAGGTAGGAAAGCCTAGGAGATGCTTATCTCCAATTAGCTACCAAAAAAAACACCAAAAAAAAAAAAAAGCAAGCACAAGTGAGTAAGAAAGAGAGAGAGGGAGCACTTCAAAAATCATAGCTTGAGGGAAAAAACACTAGTGTTATACTAAATACTTCAAATACCTTACCTTAAAAACTTCCAAATTGAGAAAACAGGTTAACAAATTCAGAATGTCAAAACAGAGCATCTGAACAGAGGAAGCCATCCATAACATGATGATACTGTAAACATACTTAAGGCGCTGTTATAAAATATTTAGAAAGGGCTGGGAAGGTGGCTCAGTGGTAGAGCACTTGTCTGGCATGCATGAGGCCCTGGGTTTGATTCCTCAGCATCACATAAGCAAAAAGAAAAAAAAGCCAGAAGTGGTGCTGTGGCTCAAGTAGTACAGCGCTAGCCTTGAGCTGAAGAGCAGAGGGACAGCGCCCAGGCCCAGAGTTCAGGCCCCATGACTGGACCCCCCCAAAAAAAATGTTTAGAAGGCTACAACATTGGACTTAAAAATGCAGATACAAGTTTGCTGAACAATAAAACTTCACATAAGCTTCATTAGATAAATACACTATTACTTACACTTTTGAAGGAAGCTGCAAATTCAGCCACACCTGGTACTGAAAAGGAAAAATATTCAAGAAAGAGTTGAGTGCTCAGGTACAGAGAATTCAAGTAACAAGAAAACAGTCGCCTATAATCCTAGCTATTCAGAAGGCTGAGATCTGAGGAGTTTGGTTCCAAAACAGCTGGGGAAGAAAAGACTGAGCCATTTATCTCTAGCCAAACCAGTGAAAAGACACTAGTGGAGCTGCAGCTTATACTGCTAGCCTTGAACCACCCACCCCCCCC